CAGGTTATTTGCACCCTTCAAAGTCTCCTGTCCAATTTCTATATTTCCATTTTGGTTAGCTCTGAATGGTGTATCTGTTTGAGTTACTATCCTGCATTTGATTGCACTCTTGCATATTTATAAATAAAAGCTTAATTCATCCAAACGTGAAAACCTCCTCAGTGAGCCCTTTTCTACTTTGACAGGTGCCAACGATCCTAAAGTTACCCAGCCTTTTGCAAGCTAAAGCTATTTCCCCCAACATTTAACCTGAAGCTGACACAGTTGGTGGGGACCTCCCAGTCTCCTCACTTTGGGTAACAGGTCCATGTCACTGAAGCAGTGATACCATTCTGAGTTTTAATCCAATTTTTAAAGAAGCTATTCAAGGTACTGGATTTACTTTGGAGATGAGATTGAGCATCTATGACAACTCTGTTAAAATTGAAAGCCAGAGCATATTGACCATTCCACTGAATGGAAGCCACCAGCTGACTTATAGCTCATTCTATAATAAATTTGTTAGTCTTTGAGGCACCACAGACCAGAAGAAGATTTTATTTAATGCAATGTTTCTTCTGCTAAAACTGTGTTATAATCAGCCAGTACTTTTAAACATATTATTAACATTAAGAACATGAATAATTCATTAGGAATGTTAATTTTTTTTGTCCGTGTGCTTTATGGTTAATCCTTCTCCCTTAAGCTGAGCCAGACCTGGCAAGTCATGACAAAATATTTATCATAGCATTTTATGTGAACATGAGTCAACAGTGTGATGTGGCAGCTAAAAAGGCCAATGTGATTTTAGGCTGCATCAATAGAAGTATAGTGTCTCAAGGGAAGTAATAATGCAACTCTATTCTGCTTTGGTCAGGCCCCACCTGGAATACTGTCTCCAATTCTGGGCACCACAATTCAAAAGGATGTTAAATTGGAGCGTGTCGAGAAGAGGGCAGCCAAATGGTTAAGGGTCTGGAAACCATGCCTTATTAGGACAGACTTGGGGAGTTGGGTATGTTTAGCCTGGAGAAGAGAAGGCTGAGAGGTGATATGATAGCCTTGTTTAAGTATTTGAAGGGGTGTCACATTGAGGATGGAGCAAGGTTGTTTTCTGCTGCTCCAGAGACTAGAACACAGAACAATGGATGCAAGCTACAGGAAAAGAGACTCTCACTCAACATTAGAAGGAACTTCCTGACAGTAAGAGCTGTTCAACAGTGGAACACACTCTCTCAGAGTGTGGTGGAGTCTCCTTCTTTGGAGGTCTTTAAACAGAGGCTGGATGGACATCTGTTGGGGTTGCTTTGATTGTGATTTCCTGCATGGTAGGGAGTTGGATTGGATAGCCCTTGAGGTCTCTTCCAATTCTATGATTCTATGATTTTACATTTTTAATATATTAATTTAAATGAGAAAAGATAGCAAATTCAAATAAATTAAAAAGAAGAAGAAAGCCATCCACTGAATTTTGATTGTGAAAGTGCTGGAGGAAATCCTGAAAATTTATGGGAAATTTCATCTTTCATTTTAAAAACTGTTATGAATTTTATTTTAACAACTGTGATGCAACTGAACCAATTCAGAATGTATTTGAGACCTGATTAACTGTGCTTCTCTATGAATTACATACATAGCTTAATGCAGAAAAGGCTATTATTCAAAATAGTGGCAGAAACAATTTTGGGCACACTTCAAGGCAGAAAAACAAACAGACTGTCCACGAAGGGCAAGCCAAAAGTGTTGTTTAGGAAATATTTGGATCAACTTGGACCATTACTTCATGGAATTCACAAATCTCTGCCATTAAGCATTCATCTCCAAAGTAAAACTCAGCTCTAATTGGTCTTATTTTGGGTCCTTTCC